CTCAATGATTAATTGCGCTTTAAACTGATGAAATCAATCTAATGAGCATCAACAATGTAAAAGCAAAATTATTTGACTTGATTATAGAAAACTAGCATAGAATTTTTCCTGCTTTTATTCTATGCATATAACTTCTATTCGACATAAGTTGTTTTTGTATATTCCAAAAACCAGAGGATATTTATTTATAATCAATTAAACGTCTTTTTATAAGTATACGTAATTATCCAAATAGATGACTGTTTGCACCTATCCAAATTGGTGTTTATTTAGACAAATACAATTATCACAAATAACTTTTAATAAATAATTATGTCTTTTAAAAAGAATTCTTTTACTATCACATATAATTGGTGTCTTTGAAATAGATATGAACATATATACATGGAAGAACCCCCATTCTTTGCAAGCTAAATCGAGCTTGGCTAATTCAGAATCCATCGATTCTTCACAAAGTAAGTTCTTCAGATCGATGATCGGGGATTTCTGACGTAAGACTATCATCAGAATTGGTCGTTTGATCAAGATCAGGATGTAGGTATCTTGGTGGAATGGTGGTCATGGTATCTTTAGCCAACTCTTGAACACAAGGCACAAGCAGAGAATTCCCCAATACCAATTTTGATTCCATGTTATTAATAATTTGTCTTCTTTTTCTTCAGCCTGATCTTCAGGAATTTTTAGAACAAACTTTGCAGATATTAATGAAGATGCTGATCAATATATAATTCAAAATCAAGGAGCCTTCACCTAATTTATAATCCACCTCTGCATGGATGCAGAATCTCTCTTGTTGTAAAAGACAAATTAAGTGGGAGATCTACCACAACCTAGTAATTTTAGTCATCGAAACCAAAAATTTAGTACTTTATTAACATTTCTATCAACAATGTTATCAATTGTTGGTTATTCTAAATTTGGTTTTGCCAAAAGAATATTCTACACTATTATATAATAAGTTTGATTCTCGTAGAATCAATTTATTAAAAGTCATCACAAAGTCTAAACGAGATTTAATCATAAACCTGCAACTCATGTATAATATGCAAAATGCATTAGTGAAAAGGTTTTTTTTTTTATTATTATTACATTAGGAGGACAAAACACTAATACAAGTAAGGAAAAAAGAGGGAAGCTTGGTTCAAAATCAGGCCCTTGATGTCCCCTCAAGCGTCTTTAATCACTAGGCTAAAGGCTTGAAGACAAAAAGTTTGTTGCTTTGTTGTGGCTTTTTTATGAAAGTGACATTTCATAAGGTTGGCAACTCTAACTCAAATGAGTTTATATTTGATAGCTTATTTTATTTTCAAATGTTTATAGCAATTTCATTAACATTTGGAGAACAAAAAATTTGTCCAAGTCCAAATGGTGCACACTACATATTCTATGAGTAATTCAGCATAGTGTTCTTTTCTTCACAATCTCTTCCCTTGTCATTTTCAATCAAGTCCATTTAACCCAAGCCATACACATTTAAACACATGCATGTTATGTCATGCCCCGAGATCAAGACGCAACACGACCATATTACCTTGAAAAAAATCTCAAAGTAATACAAAGCCTTCTTTCTTAAACATTCTAAAATTCTTCAATAAAACAATATACCAAGTAAAATTCATATATTTAATCCACCTGATAATATATCTTTATATATCCAAATACAAACCATATAAAATATAAAACTACCTCTTAAAATCTCATTGGCCAACATATTCTACGACGATTAAGTAATCTTACCCATTTCATCCTCTAGCTTCACACAAGACTAATCAAACTTATCACTTAATCATCTGTAAAGAAAAAGTAAAAGGGGAATGAGCAAATCACAGCTCAGTAAGTATAGGCTCACACACCTTATCAGATCAAGCATCGTTTTCTTACACATCATATAGATCATTCAAAACATTCATCAAATCATAATATCAGAACATTTCAAGATCATCGTTTTATCCAATATTTCATAAATTCATAAATCAATATCAAAATATGTCACTTCATAAATCATTACAAAATATGCTATCATTCAAATATCATAATCAAATCAAATCATGGATCAATCATTAAAAATCATCATAAAACATCATTATCATTCATTTATCGTTAGCTACGGTCACTGTTATAACCCGTGACATTGGCCGTATCGACAATTTTATTCTCATGATCATTGCTAACTATTATAACACATTAGCCAAGGCTTACACTAACTACTATTACCCGTTAGCTAGGGTCGTATGATCATGTCTTTGCTAACTACTATTACCCGTTAGCTAGGATCGTAGAACTAAGTTCTGGTGTCGATGATCCCACTTCCCAGGGATGTAAAAACGTAGCTATCATAAAAATTATTCTTTAATTATTCTTTAAATATAAATCATTTTCTCATTTCATTCATAAGCATGATCCATCATTGATATCGAGAAACACAAAATAATTATATGCTTTATCCTATTTTCATATAACGAAAATAAAGAAATAAAACATTCTTTCATTTAGAAACATATATATATACATAGATTCGAAAACAAGCAAAATGTGTGAGATTCTACTTACCTCCATTCGATTCCACCACTTAGTTTTTCCCCCCAAAATAATTAATGGCCTATCCAAGATCATTTCAACATATCAAAATTTAATCAACCCTTTTTGAGACCATTTATACAAAAATCAACTAAGTTACACAAGGGTTAACTTAACTAATTAATACTGGCAGCTTGACCTCTTTTCATTAAAACAGTCATATCTCAATATATCCAAATCGGAATTATGATCTTTTTAATGCGTTAGAAACTAGACTGAATAAGCTTTCTAACCGTATATGGAACACATCGTAATTCCTTGTAGATTAATTATAACAATTTTTGAAATCCACGTCATATACTGCTGTCAAACAGCCTGTATACCTTCTAATAAAAATTATATATTTATTCATAGGAAACTCCAAATTCAATTCCGCTTATTTCATTGGAAAGTAGACTCAATAAGCTTTCCAAAAATATATGGCTTAATTTGTAAATCCTTGTATACAAATTAAGAACAATTTCGTAATTCAACCCTGATATTGTTATCTTACAGCCTACATATCCTTAAGTTAAAATTAGACAACTCTTCACAGAAAACTCGGATTTGACTTTCGTTTATTTCATTAGAAACTAGATTCAACATGCTTTCCAATGATATATAATAATCACAGCAATAATCTATCCATTAATATAAAATTCTATTTTAATTCATTATTACAAATTATAACATCTCATCCAAAAATAGAATTTCTCCTTCAATCTTTAAAAACTCAAATCTTGACTTTCAGCCTTCAAACTCCATTCAATAATCATCAATAAATCTTAAGAACATGAAATAAACAAAGCCCAGTAATTCACCCAAATAGATCATGAAGATTAATGAAAGAATTCATGATTTTTCTTGGTTTTGCTCTCAAAACTTTAACTTCAAATAATAGCAATCAACTTGATATTTTTTTTAAATAAAAAGAGGGCATGTACTCACATTTAAGGGATTAACTTGATTGTAGCCTTTGATTGTGAATCTCCAACTTGATTTTTCATATTCTCTAACCCTAAGGAAGATGAGAAAAAAGAACTCTATTTCCTTTCTGTTTCACGATAGTTAGGTTTTCTTTCATCTAATACTTCAGCCCTTTTTCTTTTACTAAATAATGTCTTAATAAACTGATGGACTTTAATATTAGTCTAGCCCAATTATTATTTGGGCTGGGTATTACATGTTGCACACACATATATATATATATATATAGAAAGAGAGAGAAATTATGTGATTATCGTTGGTAGAGTTAAAAAATTCCACTATCAATGTATCAAAAATGAAATTACTTTAACCTGATATCATTTATATGATTTGCCTAATCATTTGAATAAGTCATACTCTCAACCAGGAAGAAGACTTATTCCTTATGGAGGAACTTGTGAGCCTCTTGGATTGCCTTCTTATATCTTGCAAGGACGACCTCGATAGAGGTACAATTTTCATCCCATAATTAAGAAAGAGATCGAAGCAGTTTTAGGTAAAAGCCAACTGTTTCTACAAATGCTGGAAGGCAAGGACATGCATAACACCTTCTAAAATTCTAGGTTTCTTTTATGTTTTCCAACGTTTGTATTTATTTTCCCTATGTTGCTGCAACTCTAACTGAGTATGCTTTTATTTCAAGCTATGCTAGCTATAAGAAATTGCTTGTTCAGCTACTGCTTAATCACAGGCTGATTGTTTATTTTTACATAAAACCTATTTGTACGTGGAATCAACCAAGGATTGTGTATTTTCTTTTTTTCTTACTAAAAAAAAGCTGTTATCAATGGATGGTTGGTTGACTTGGAAAAAAGAGTTTGCTCCTCTCTTTGTTTAGTAGGAAACTGTAAGAAGGTAATTTCTCGTGAATTCACTAGATCCGGTATATAAACCTACATCAATCGGCCTAAAAAGATAATGTATTAGGCAAAGCTTGAGAATCCCTTGCCCATTAATAATAAAAGCTGTTGAATACAGACAAGCATTACAAAGCTAAATGCATTTATTTCTTTGTTCTTACATATGTTTATCATATAAGAAATAGATTTATATTTAATGTATTGTCAGTGTATAGATTCACTATACACTGTAAGAGTTTGCTCCTCTCTTTGTTTAGTAGGAAACTGTAAGAAGGTAATTTCTCGTGAATTCACTAGATCCGGTATATAAACCTACATCAATCGGCCAAAAATATATTAGCAACTTAAATCCTTGCATAATTAAATGTTAATACACAGCTTACAATCAAATCATTTATTCTTTGTTTAATATGTTTTCAATAAGAAATAGATCATATTTAATGTATGTCATGTTATAGATCACTATCAGAATAAAATGATAACATCTCATTAATAATATATCATCTTAATAATATATCATCTGATTTATTGACATTATATAAAATCTATATATTGACATTGCAGCAAATATAAATCTTATAAGAAAGACCATGAATGTTTAATTTTCAATCCACATTTATTTCAGAGCACTGGCCAGGCAATTGAGTCAGTTGATTTTTGGTCTTAACCATGCTATATTCTCATGGTATCAAGGTAAGATTTGCCTTGGAGCTCACGAGCAAATAAACCCTTGAAGTATTCTTCAACTCTTAATGTTTTAAATAATGCTGGTTTTTGTGGAGAAATCAAGCTTGGTGCTGGACCTATTTCACCATCATATCTGGGGCTGTGGAATGTAGCAATTGAGAGTCTGTGTCTTTCAGAGTTCACTGTTGCACGATGTTCGATGCTCCGATAAGCTCCATTTGTCACCATCTACCCACAATATGATAATTCAAAAAATGATGCATCAGCAGTTAAAGTGGTTCAAGTAATAAATTAATCGGAACATTTAGCTCATAATTTTCATACTCAAAGAGTTTGGTTTAAATCTTCCGTACCAAATATAAGAAAAAAAACAGATTATGCTGATATCCATCCATTTAACTTAATGATTGATGCATGTTTTTCCCACTCAAAAAGTTTGGTTTAAATCTTCTGTACCCGGTAAGAAAAAAAAGATTATGCTTATATCCATGGAAAATGTTTCCTGTAACAAATCAAACTTATGCTTCTCTAAAGTGTATTGATGAATGATTATTACCTGTAAAAGGTCTCCAACATTGACAATAAAGGCATTGGGAAGGGGCTTAACAGGAATCCACTTCCCATCTTTCTTGATCTGAAGACCTTCAACTTCATTAAGCTGAAGCAAGATAGTTAGACCAACAGCATCAGAATGAGGTCTAAGGCCAATGGCTTGCTTTGGTTGAGGACATGGAGGGTAATAGTTCATCCTAAATGATTGCATTCCTCCTTCAAAAAAGCCAGTCATTTCTTCAACTTTCATGTTCAGTGCTTTTGCCATCTTTGTCAATAGAGTCATGGCTAGAGATTCCAACTCCAATGAGTAAGAATCCAATGTTTCCCTACATTCAAAATTAAAAAAAATTCAAATGTTTCCATTTTCATGTAGAAAACCATATGAAGGAAAAAAATGGAAAAAATTTTATTCTAATCGTTGAGCTATAAAATCACACATGTTGTTACAAGTCAACTATTATTATAAATTTTTTTTTTCTATCGAATGAAGTGTTAAAGAGAAATGAGAGAATTGGAGAGGACCTCAAAGGAAGAGGGAGATTGGGAAGCAAATGGGGTTTTCTGAAATGGACAGGGAGGCTGGTAATGAAGAAGAGATCACCCCAATCAAGCTTTTGCTTCTCTGATACAACAAAGGATTGCCCAAATCCTTCTACTTCTCCTTGATATTGCCAAAAATTTTCTTCTCTTCCATTGGGAGGTTGAAGAAGTCTTGAATTTCTGTCTTTGTATTCTCCACTAGAGAAGTGCTCACTCCATGATTTACCAACTACACAAAATAATTTTGTAAACCTTTTTTTTTTTTTGTTAAGTTATAAAAAAAATTCACTTTGAAATACATCAAAACATGATTTAATTACTTTTTTTTTTTTTCTTGCCATCTGTATAGTGGTATATATTAGTATTACCTATAAACTACTATTGCAATGTCAGTAAACAAATGAATCATCCAAATTCCTTTTATCCTTTACTCGATCAATACTAGCTAGCATGATAAAATAATCAAGTACATTAATTTTGAATGAAAATAATTTTTATGAATGAAACAAGAAACAAATTATTAAGTATAATTTTTTGAACAAAAATAAGAATATTTCAATTCTGAAAGTAATTAAAGAGACACATAAACTTATTATTAAACAAGTTTTTGGCACATATGAAATGTACGTGTAATTTTATATCTAAAAATTCAATTTAATAAATAATTTATTTTGAATACTATGGTAATAATGAAAATAATTAATATTTTAATTTTAATTTTAGTATAATATAAGTAAAATTTGATAATTAAATTTTTATACAATTTTGATTTTGGTAATATTTAATATGTTTTGGTAGCTTTTGTTAAAAGACTAAGAATTTTCAACAAAATTTTGCTAACTTTTAATATAATTTGGGTAACTTTCGGTATTAATTTAGTAACTTATGATATAATATTTGCAACCGTTTTGATAATTGTTTATTAAATTTTGGTAACTTTTTATATGTTTTTGACAATCATTGATAAAATTTATGTCATCATATATCTAATTAAATTTTTTTTATTGAATAAATTCATCATTGTAAACCCTTAATTTTGTCCAAATTGATTCAAATTTATTTAACTTTTATGCTTAATTTGAACATTTCAATTTGAGCTAACTTAAGCGTTCTAATTGAATTTATTTAGATTTTGATTTAGATTAATAATTTTCAGATCATTCTGCATAAGCCAAAAGTCCAACCTAATTTCATTTCGGCATTTAAAATTCAATCATTTGGATTTGAAAGCTCAATAAAAGCTCAAAGCATAATTAAAAGACACAAAATATAATTGTGAACCCAAATATATTTTAAGGTCCAATTTCATTTTATTAAAATTTAATTACTTTAATTAATTGAAAAAATTACAACAAAAATAAAAAAAGACAGAAGCTTGTTTGACATGGAACTACCTTTCTCATATTCACTTTCCCTTCCTCAATTTGTCCCTTTCATTTCTAGTTCCGAATTTTTCGTCTTCAATTTTAACCCATTGATTTTAAACACAATTCATCAAATGACTCGTTGTCCCAAAAGCCAACAAGCTCCACCACCCTAGGAGCAATAAGCTCCTCTACCTTATTGCCAACAACCCTCTAAAAAAAATAGTCCCGAGGCCAAGTTTCAAAAATCGACTTTTATTAGAAACCAATTGACAAAAGGTGAGGGGAGGGGAGGTTCCAAAAAGATCACAAATAACACAACAAGGGAAAAGCTTGAGAACAAAAAATAAAAATAAAAAGAGGTTCCAACGACAATTTCCCACCCTCACTACCTTCATCACAGCCTATCATCAAGGGAGCACGCCAAACCCACTACCATTGCCTCAATAGCCCCCTTCCATCCCACAATCACTAACACAGTGCCACACTTCCATATCACTACCCTTGACCAAACCAACAAGAAATCACATAAAAAAAGGACCCAAGCTCTACAGCCTCTCTAGCCAAGCCAGACTGAACCCCTCCTTTGCCACTCTCTACCTCAGCGAAGCCTCCCTTCTGACCTTCTCAAACTTTTTTCTTCATCCACAAAACCACCTACAACGTCATCTACTTGGTCTTGCCACTAGAGTTCCATGCCATCTCTAAACGAACATCCCCATCACCACCAAAAACACTACCTAAAACAACCCGTCTCCAACCTCTTTCATACCCCAGAATCGAATATCAAAACAAAAAGGGCACAATCTTCCCCAAGACCTTAGTCACAGCCACAATAAACACACGAAAAGAAAAACAAAACAAAACAAAATAAAATTACAAAACAATCAAAATAGAAAAAGAATGTTTTGGTTCATAGAATTTTTTTTTTTTTTTTTGGTTTACAGGCATTTTAGGAAGAATATTTTCCATCTTATTGAGAAAGAAGTGTTATAGGCTAAATTATTTTATTAGAGTTAATGGACCTGTATGTGGACTTATGTAAAAGGCCAGTGCCTATAAGGCTCTCTTTTATCTTTTCTAGTTAGTATTTTTCTGTTATGTTACCGTTAGAAATCAGGTGAAAGGGAGAAGATGCAAACAATCAAGAATATTGGTTTGTTATGGTTAGCTGTGCATAAAAGGAGGTGAAGGAAATAATTGTAGATTGATTTTGTTTTACGAAAATGAAATGAAACTTTCCTCTGTCTAAAAATTTCTTCTGTTTGTTTTCCTCTATTGTTCTCCTATGTTTCCTTCCTTGTTTTTTACTGTTGTTGATCCAGAAGGGTATGCATTGGTATCAAAGCTCAAGACCTGGCAACCATGGCTGATGAAATCACTACTCAACTACAAAAAGAGATTCAACAGATTCAACAAGACTTAGCTAAACTTTAGAATGAGATACAGTAGATGGATTCTAGATGCGAGCAACAAATGTTAGGGATCTATTTGGAATGGAAGAAGGATTTCAAGGAATTTCTGGACCAGATGTTTGCTAAAAAGGTAGTTTCACGATACAATGGGCAAGAAAGAGAGCAAGCATCTGTTAGTAGATTAGAGAAGAGGCTGGGAAAAGACATTGTTTCAGCAGTGAAGCACCAAAACAACCTTTATGATAAGAATGTCTTGAACAACTCCTTATCAGCCATCCATAATAGGTACTTAATTTTAAATTTTTCTAAGGGTTTTAAACTTGAATATCTTAAATTTAATGGGGAAGATTTTAAAGGGTAGTTCATGAAATTAGAACAGTATTTTGAGGCTGAAAAAGTTCATAAAATTGCTAAAGAGTTGTAATGTTAAGTCTAAAGAGGAAGGCATTATAGTAGCATTAACACTATACCAAGACTCAATGTGGATTTGAGAACTTAGTGCGAGTAAATTATATTAAGGAGATGAAAGACATATTTGCTTGTGAAGAATATGATGATCCCATGGCTGAATTAGTTGAACTAAAGCAAATAATCATTATAGAGCAATTTTATGAATTTTTTTTATGTATCTTAAACCTTTTATAATTGTCTGATTCCTATGCCTTGAGCATCTTTATCAGTAACTTGAAACGAAACATTTCTTAATCCATTAAACTCTTTAGACCCACTACCCTGAACCAAGCCTTACACCTTGCTAAGCAAATTGAGTCTATCATTTAACCCAAGCCCAAAAGAATCCACACAAGTACAAAACCATGCATCCTATACAACATACCAAACTATCTCTAGCAATACTCACACCAAAACCATCCAATTACCACCTCTGTTACCTACACCCAAAGCCCCACCTGACCCTTACCTATTATCTTTCGACAACAATAAAACTTTTACTCAACAGCTTAACAAATCAAACACTTATCATAGCAGCAACAACAGCTTAAAACCCATCACCAGAAAACCCACCCCAACTGAAATGGGGGAAAAGAAATAAAAAAAAGGACCATGTTATTGGTGTGGAACCAAATACACAACAGGCCATAAGTGTATGAGGTCTCAATTGTACCAATTGTTTGTTGACAAATACAAGGAGAAAAAGTGAGATAGATGAGTTCTCGGACTGCATAGATAACCCTGAAGCATTTTTATTGAAAATGAATGAAGTGAGCAGCCATGGCTCTCTTTACGTGCCCTGTAAGGTTCTTATGGATCCCAGACTATGAGAATGCAATGGGTAATTAAGGATCGTGAACTGATTATGTTGATAGACTATAGTAGTACCCACAACTTTATAGAAATAGCAGTGGCCAAAACATTGGGGTTATATACAATACAAAACTACCAAGTAGGGTTACAATAGCAAATAGGCAAAGTGTCAAGGCTGCTAGGTTATGTTAGATGTTGCAATGGTCAGTTTCGGAGTCTGTGTTTATGGTTGACTTTATGGCTCTATCACTGAAAGGGCATGATGCTGTCTTAGGAATACAATGGCTTAAGACCTTGGGGCCCATAGATTGGGATTTTTTTGCCTTGACTATGCAGATTCAGTACAAAGGTCAATGGACAACATTTAAGGGCATACAACCTAGAATGTTTGCTATAGTCAATGGGAAGTAAATAATGAAGTTCTCACTATCATTAATTGATGAGATTGAGAAGAAAAAGAATGACAAAATTAGAAGCTGCAAATCCCAAACTTTGGCTTGCAATTGCAACACAAAAAATAATTGAAGTGAATGCCTTGACCAAGGTATTGTTCAAGCAACAAGATAAGTTTATTCAGAAAGCTACTACCTGGTAGAATTTTTATTATTATCGTACCATAAATGTCTTATATGGTGGTGGACTTGGTCCTAGTGTTTTAAATATTGTTTACGGTGCCAAAATTCATGGTGTTGTCATGTTTGATGTAAACAAGGATCCCACTTTAACTGCTTTCGTTGTTGCTGGTTTTGTTGCTATTGGACAAGGGTGCATGCTACTTAGCACAATAGCTTTTGTTGGTGATTCAAAATCATGGGATAATAAGTTGAAGAACGCGCCAAACTACTGCAAGATGGAAAGTTATTTGTTCGAGCAACTAAAGACTGTGTAACTAAGACACTGAAAATACTAGAGGGGAGGATTCATGTGCAAGCTTTGAACCATTTGCTATATTTGACAAATGTAGCATATATATTCGATTGTGTTATCATTTTTCAAGAATAACATATTGCTTACAAAACTAAGGCTTCTTGCAAGGTGACCATAACCAAGCTTCAAGCTGGTTATATGTTTTTTGCACCTTTACTGAATTATTCAAATACAAAAAGCCTTAAGATTGGTGATACTATTGAGCTTATTTTAGATGCTATTACTCCTGAAATGGTTAAAAGACCTCATGCATTGTTTACACTAGAGTGTTACAATGGTTATGGAGATGAACTGATAAGAAAATTACTAGCTTCCATCCTTGAGGACAAGGATTTCTTCATGGTGGGAGTATTTTTACGGGCTAAATTATTTTATTGGACTTAATTGACCTACATGTGGACTTGTATGGAAGGCATGTACCTATAAAGCCCTCTTATCTTTTCTAGTTAGTATTTTTATGTTATGTTATTGTTGGAAATGAGATGAAAGAGGGAATATGCAAATAACCGCGAATATCTGTTTGTTATGGTTTGGTGTGCATAAAATGAGGTGAAGGAAAGAATTGCAGTTTGATTCTGTTATGCGAAAATGAAATGAAACTTTCTTTTCCCTAAGAAAGTTCTTCTGTTTCTTTTCCTCTATTTTTCTTCTCTGTTTCTTTCCTTGTTATATCTTTCTTTGATTTTGCAAAAATTGTTGTTGATCAAGAAGGGTACGCATCAAGAAAAGAACAGTGAGGTTGAAGAGCTCGGTTTGGGGTTGCAAGCGACGGTGGGAGCAATGGTCGTGTAGGTGTCGACGATGGCAACCGAAGTTTTGGATGACTAGAAATGGTGGAAAGGAAGAGAAGAGCGAAGGTAACAATATATCACATTTTGGAAGAATTGAATGATGGGCAACAGTGAAAAAGGTATGAAGCCAAGGGTTTTGAGTTTAGATCTAGGAAATCCCAGTCAAATTTAGGCAAAATCGAGCTTAAAATGTGACAGAGGAGGCCAAAAGAAGTTCAGAGTTATTTTTGGGAAGAGAAAAGACGTGGGATGCTGATAGCTGATGATGATGGCAAGCGGCTAGGTTTAAGAGGGGCTCTGGCTTCTGTCTTTTTTAAGAAGAAACGAGCTTTTAAAAAAAAAAAAAAAAAATGAAATGATAAAAAAAAGTTTGCACTCTGTAATTGGTAAGAAAAAAAAAAGGGTTAACCTGACCCGTGACCTGACCTGGATCCACTCCAAAGCCTTCTGCCTGACCCAGAGAAAGCCCAACCTGTAACCCATTCAAGTTTTGCTTTGTGGACCAGCCTAAAGGTTTCATTTCCAGTATCTTCTTTATTTGTTTATCTTGTCATTTTGTTACATTTAATTATATTAATGCTTATATAGGTTGAATCATGAAATATATAAATAAACAAATATATGAAAAATAATATATTTTTAACAATGAATTAATTTTTGGATGGTTATGTTTTAAAAAAAGTTACTATCATAAAAATTAAATAAATCAAAAAATAAAAAATAAAAATAGATTTTTTTGATGATGAGATTCCAAACAAAATCGTGTAATGATTCTTATGAAATCTTTAAATGAAAAGATTTTTTTTTAAATACTGTTAACACATTGAAGTATTTATAAAAAATTTTCAATTTAAAAAAATTTCTCTCTTAATCATAAAGCAAAAAATGCAAAAAATATGATAAAAAAAGAAAAATTAATAATCAAAATTTTAAAAAAAAAATAAAATGATGATAAATAAAATTTTAAAATAATAATAATAATAAATAAATAAAATATAAATACATAAATAAAGTGTGCATACCTATGCATAAATATTATGTTTTATTATTTACATCTCATATACATAATTTAATCATAAAAAATAGATGTAAAATTTTTGAGAACGAGATTATAAATAAGTCCAAGTAGTGAATCAATAAATTTAATAATTTTTATATACTTCTTTCGACTTAAATTGTTTGGGTGTTATTGATTTTCATTCAATTTAAAAGATTTTTTGACTTTAATGTATTTATCGTTAAATTTTAAAATTTTTTATAAAATTAAAGTTTATGATTTTAATTGTCAAAAAGTACATAAAAAATCATAAAAAATAATTTAAAAACTTAAAAAAATAAAAGTTTTAGATTTAAAAAAATAATTTTGAAACATTCTAAAAAAAAGTAAACTAAGAAAATGGAACGGAAGAAATATATATAATAATAACATAATTCATGAGTTTAAATGTGTATGACGTAGGTGAAATGGACTGGATACAAAAAGTCAACTACAGAAGGTTGTGAAGAAAGAAACACAATACTGAAGCACTAAAACAATTTGTAGCGTCCGCCACTTCGACTTGGACAAATATGTATATTTTTTTTCCGTAAAACGTCAATGAAATTGACAAAAAAGATTTGAAAATAGAATACCCTACTTAAATATAGCCTAACCTTGTCCAATTATACACGACATTGATTAAAAACGTGTCTTTCAGAAACAAAACCACAACAGAATAATTTTAATTTTACTAATATTCGGGCATATTATATATGAGTAGAGGGTTTATGATTAAATCATGTTTAGAATTTTTTATAAAAAAATTCATAATTTAAATTTTTTAAAATAATTTTTTAAGAGTAAACAATTACATTAAATATCAAAATTTTAAATTTTGTTGTGAGTTTGAATTATTTGAGTTAATAAAATCAAATATTTTAATATAATAGTGTCGAATACTCTTTCAGTAAAACCAAATTTATAATTAAACACCTTGACCTCCCATGGTGAAGATTAAAAGTATAATCGAGTCGAGTCAAGTCGAATTGATACAGTGAAAAGTTCAAGTTCGAACTCGACTCACAACTCGCAGTTTGATATTCGATTTAAACTCGATCGAATTTTATCTTTCAAGTTCAAGCTCGATTCGTGATCGAATTCGAGCTACTCGAACTCACTCGATTAAGTTTGATTAATATGTAAAAATAAACTCAATTCGTATACTCGATAAGAGTTCGATTATTTATACTCGAGCCCAAACTCGAATTCGAAATATTTTATTAATTAAAATAATAAAAATATATTTAAATATAAAAATTTGATTACGTTCGCGAGCTACTCGAACTGAATATAAGAATACTCGAATTTGGCTTGATCAAAAAGTTAAATTACTCAAGCTCAAGCTCGACTCGATAATAATTAAATTGAATTTAAATTTTTTTCGAATCGAATTCGAGTAGCTTACGAATATTAATGTATCATTTATACTCCTAGTGAAGACACAAATAATTATTAACAAATTATGGAAAATTAAATTAAATATGAAAAAGGTTATGAAGAAGGCATGATGTGGACATTATTTCTGAAACTATTCAAACTTTGACGCATTCTCAAGTAATCAAAAAGTAGATTAAAAGTGGATTTTGATGGTTCCTTAGTAACTTCCATTTCTCTTTAACATTTTGGGTTAACCATGTTTAATATTATTAATCAGAAGTTAAAAACGACTAAAGGCTGCACTGTTTTCTTGGATACAAAATCTGTCCATAATACATGTATTGGTATAGATCTACATAATCAAATCAAATTATTCGTGAGTTATTTAGATTTAATTCAAAAAAATTAAGTTTGACTGTTAAAATTTGAATTATTCGAATAATGAATTAAATTAAATTTGAGTAGTTAAATATCATACTTGATAAGTTAGCAAGCTTAATAAAATTTAATCAAAATTTTATTTTTTTAATATATAAAAATAAATAATAAATATTTAATATCAATATTTATAATTTTATTGAAATTAATCAAGTTTATGAGTTTAGCTCAAACAAGTCAAAATCAAATTAGGAACAAAACTTCAGCCTAGCAGTGTATAGACCCGATTTGGCTTGTTTACTCTCCTATTGTGATACATTTATTTTAAGTTCACAAATATTATGTATGAACAAGAGCCAGAGATGAATGTGCATACCTGGAAGAACCCCCATTCTTTGCAAGCTGAATCAAGCTCGGCTAATTCAGAATCCATGGATTCTTCACAAAGCAAGCTCTTCAGGTCGATAACCGGGATTTCCAACATAGGACTATCATCGGAATTGGTCGTTTGATCAACGTCAGGATACAGGTATCTTGGTGGAATGGTGGTCATGGTATCTTTAGCCAACTCTTGAACACAAGGCACAAGAAGAGAATTCCCAAATACCACTTTTGGTTCCATGTTATGAATAATTACGATTCTTTTTTGTCAAACCTGATCTTCTGGTTTTTAGAACACACTTTTGCAGAGATTAATGAAGATGCTGATCAATACATGTTTCAAAGTCAGAGCCTCCATCTAATTTATAATCCACCAATAGATGGATGCAGAATCAATCTTGGTATAAAAGACAAATCAAGTGAGAGACCCACCCTAAGCGTGATTCCATGTGTGTGCCAATTCATATATGAAATATGTACATTAGGTAAATCTGATGTTGACATGTGATCTGTTTTTAAAACATTGAACTTTTTATTTTAATGATTAAAATTTAAATCTTAATAATTTTAAGTATAAAAAAATTTGAATGATTTGCTTCTCAAATACATCCGCTAAGCAAAATTTAGACAACAAACAAAATGCAATAACAATTTTGTATTACTATTTATGCTTCCAAATGCAACCTTGACAGAATTTGAATTGAATAAGTCATCTGAATTTTACATTTTGTATGAAAATACCAGAAGCTAATCTGGTAAGATTAATTGCAGTAATAATAACATTTAAATCCCATTTGGCATTGTACTACCAAGAAAATTTTCCTCTAAACAAGCTGTAAAATTTAAACAGGAACCAACTTTTCTGAATATGCAAGAAATATGAGAAAAGGGCTAGCAACCAATATCTGAAAGTGGAAAAACCAAGTAGAAATTTATTTCAAGTTCATCACAGATTCAAGTTAGTAGGAGATTGAAACAATGTTTCTTGAGCTACTCAACAATGGACTGTTTATGAAATTAAGTAATTAACTACAGCACAAGTCAAAAACATCAATTCCAGTGAAGAAAAGGCCCTAAATTATCAAATGTATGATCCAATGAAATCACCAGCAAAATTACAAAACCACATCTGAAATCTACAACTACCAAAATAAAAGTGAAAGTAGTATCTCCAAGTTTAAACAAGTTGGCCCACTATTTGATTACTTCTTGTGCTCATCTCTAGCTACAATCTTGAACTTTCCTGTCTGTTGTTGCTGCCAATAGAAGAAAACCCATCAATAAAAACTTCAACTAGCTATTACTAACAGGTTTACATTTGATGCCTATGTGTAAGCCATCACTAAATCACATGCTACGACCTCATTAATGTGGAAAATAAAAGTTTGAAAATCCTGAAAATTACTCATAAGTATTTCATTAGGAAAAATAATTATTTCAACAATCATCTTAATTAATGAATTAACATGTGTTTACTAACGAAATATAATTCACTAACAATGAATACAATTTATACACAGCACATCAGTAATAACCCCTACATTAAAACCAAAAATCATTAAAATTACGTAGACAGCTTAAAAAAGATTTACCTTTTTCCACAATGCAGTGTGGCATTTGCAAAATCCAGCAACAACAGCACCCTTCTTTCCTTCTTTATATTCAAAGCAAAGATCCTCATTCAAACCACAAGTGACATGAAACTCCAACCCACATTTAGGCTCCGAACACTCGATAAAACACCCACTCCTACCATTACAAACATAACATTTCCCTTTCCATCTCTTCTCAGGAACCTTAGAACAATTAATCCTTTCTCTCCCTTCAGGATCCTCAAAAAACACTTCGGGAACCAAAACAGCACAAACCAAATGAGCCCACTTACCATCGACATTTGTGGGCTTCATTGCACCTCCTTTGGTTGGACATAAACAACAAGCAAAATGCTTATCCTTGTTAGTTTTCTCTGATTTGAAAGCTAAGCAAAGATTGCAAAACCAATCACCTTCGGGGATTTCTTTTATCAGTGGATTTCCATAACATGTGGAATGTACCATTAAGTCACACCCATCGCAAAATACTATTGGATCTGTTGGATCACCATCCGTACTTTTACAAATATCGCACAAAATCCCATCTTCCTCCTCTTCTTTGCTAGCCTCCTTGAAACGTAGGATTTCTTCTTCTCTTTCTTCTTGGCTAATTTTGATGCTTTTTTGGGAACTTGTTTCAAGTAGGGTTAGCTTGTTTTGCTTCAATTTATCCTTTTTAACATCAAAAATGCATTTTTTGGGACTTTTAGCAATTGGGTTTTTCTTGCTTTCCTCTACAAGTTGGATTTCATTTTCTTTATTCTCTTCTTGCCTAGCTCTGATGCATTTTTTGGGATCTTTGTCAAGTGGGATTTTTTCGCTTTTCTCCAAAATCTCTTTTTTAGAATCAAAAATACATTTTTGGGGACTTTCAGAAATGGGGTTTTTCTTGTTTTCCACCGTCTCTACTTCCGTCTCATACTCAACATTCAAATCAAAAGGGAAAAGAGGCTTACCAGAAACAAAATCAGGTTGCCAAGCCCATATTCTCTTCTTGGCTGGCAAGCAACATGCAGTAGTTTCACCTACCGGAGGAACCCTGGACTCCTTCCTTTTCTTCGCCGGGAGGCAAAAGCGGTTAGCTTTAGAGTTATTGAACTCTTCTTCTTGTTGTTGCAAAAGCCTAAATCTTTTGACAGGAGGTAAGACTTGGAATCTGGTATCCATTGTTTAGTGGTTTTGTGAAGAGAAGATTGAGATTGTTTTTGGATGGTTTGCTATAGTGTCTGGATTTTGTTTTTGGAGGTTAAAGGGATTTCAGATTTGAATGGAAAAAAGAGAGGGTTTTGGAGCTGGTGGGAAGAGAAGCCGGGAACATGGAAATATTTGTTTTTTGGTCTATTTTCAATTGTTTTTGGAATTTGGCGGTAAAGTTAAGGAAGCAAAGAAATCGGGTTTTGGTTAAAAAACAACCTTTGATTAGTTTTGCTCAAAAGTACCCGCCAAAATTTGGTGCAAAAAGGCTTTCCTTTTGCTCAAATTGTACAATTTTGGGCCTTTTCTTGGGTTCACAAAGGTTATTTAGTTTAGAGATGAAAATAATATATTAATATTTATAAATTATTTGAGTTTTATTTAAATAAAATTTAATTTAATTATTATTAAGTTAAATTTAAATTTAAATAGTTTGATTTTATCGATTTAATTAATTTCAAATATTTTTATACTCAATTTAAGTAACTCATAAATTTAATTAAATTTTTATATTTTAATATATTTTTATTTTTTTATTAATAAAATATTTTAAATTTAAATTTGAATTCAAACACAAATAATTAAATTTTTATCAAATGTAAAAATTAAACTTATTTTTACATGTTTATCAAAGTAAACTTCAAATCTAAAATTTAAAATTGAGCTCAAGTTTAAACTTAATATTAAACTTGATTGATTACACCCTTAACCTAACCTTTATTAAATCATTAAATACTTAAAAAGGACGTCAAAATTAAAAGCTAATTGAAGTTAAATGTTTTGGAAAGGGACAGGATTAGGAGTATTAAAAAGATAAATACGTTTAAAACATGACCTTGAACCGTGTATAGCAATTACTATTTTCATACGTGTATAGATGATGGGTTTCAACATATATAAGATGGTCTGAAAATTCGGGTTCAAATCCCCTCCTCTTAACAAAAATATCCATAAAACCTCACGGCAAGTTTGTCATTTACCCAAATTTTAACAGTTGAAATCTGTTTATCCACACAAAAATTTTAAAAAAAAGAAGATGATTGTTAAACTGACAATTTAAAGAGCACAACACGTAATTAAATGATGCAAAATTTTAACAAAAATCATATATTGATTTAAGAAAACAAAAAATATATATTTTGTGTTTTTCATTTAGACTTTGGTTGTGACACATAATTTAACACGATCCGAATTCAAGACGCTAATTGCCTGGTCTATTGGTAATGGAAGACAGCAGCAATTTTCATACACTTCCCTGCAAAATAGGGAGTAGAGACATTATTTTCACCAGTCGGTGAAGAATTTATGTTTGCATGGCACCTCTTAATGGAAAACTAGTGTTAGCTGCATACCAGGGTGTGCCCTGTCTGTGTTCGAAACATGTCAAAGGTGGACAGTAGAAATTAGTTGTTGAGTACACAGCTTTGGAAGGGCCTAAAAATTCGACACCACTCATCCGAAACAGCAGCGGCAGATTTCTTCTGACCTATAAAAGCTTATCAAAGGCTTCAACATGATACACCCATCCATCTCTTTGAACTGGAAAACATCATGAAATATCTCTAGTTATAATAGCCAGATCAGATAAAAGCTAGTGACCAGAAGAAAGTCCCCCTTCATTCACTGGATCATCTGTCTTACAGCTTAAAAAAGTTGTTGCACACCACAGCAAAGTTATCATCCCTGTCACCACCTCATACCATGAGCTTGAGAATTGAGATAGCATTGATATTTGGTGGTTTCGTGAAATTACTGAAACCAAAACCCTATAGATCTTCTGGTATTTTCTGTTGCCCCAAGAAGCCCTGTGAATCGGCAGTGACACAATACATAGAACCAAATCTAAAGCTCTCACTGCCACCAAAAGCAAGGGCATGTGCAGAAGATCTTGAAAAGACTTTAGCTCTGAAAGAAAAATCGGAGGAATCCTGATAATTCCTTTAGCATCAAGTTACAACTAAAATTTGCCATTATGCTCCATGGCCAAGAAAATGATTGTCTTCAAACTCAAACATAGTACTTAAATATGCTAGAGTTTTCTCCAGCTGAAAGGCACAAAAGCTATCAAAATAGAGGTACTGCCTAGTGTTGAAGACATCAACACCTAGAAAATAGAGTTCAATTCATCAATATAGGTTAACCAACATAAAAGCATTTAGAAAAAAAAAAAGTCATGCGTTGTACTGAATTAATAATTTTGAGGTGACTTTAGGGTGTAACTGCAAAGAATATGTGCCCATGGTTTAAATTTCAAAGGCACTTTGCCAAGTGAATGTGAATAGTTAATCAAGTCATAAATGACCTTTGAAATATGCTATGATACACAGCCATCGAATTTTTTTGTTACAATTTCAATTTTGGCAGTTCAAGATTTTGTTTCACGAGTTAGTAGAGAATTTATGATCTAAGCTGCTTAGTTAAGTCTATGTTACTCCCTAGTAAGGATTTTATCTTCATTTATCAATCTCTCTGCCTCTCTCAACTAAATCTAAACCAATTTTGAGAACAATATGGCCATTTACGTGAAATTCAAATACTAAAATTGCTTATTTACCGAGCTCTAAGCCCATTATGAGCCATATAGGCAGAATTTGTAAAAGTTTGCCTGGAACTATTAGGAACACAACAGAATAATCCTTTTTCTCTGCACCAACAGCTAACATTATTTGGGAGTAAATGCAATTGGAAAGTGAAATCTTGGTCAAAATCATTAACACTTGATGATTTTATCTACCTAAGGCTAGGGTATGATCTTGAATCTCTAACTCTTTGGTAAATATGGGTATTATTGTCTCATATTTAAAGTGTCTTAAAGGCAAACACTTCAAAAATGGAGTATGATATATGATCATAGAATCAGAGTCAAATTTTTATAAGATGTATATCTAAATTAAGTGAAAAGAGTAACAAGAAGTCCTGAAAATTTTATTGAATATTAGAAAGTAGATGTAAAGTTCTAGCTAGGCTGATATATGTTTTTCATCCTCATACTGAAGTAGTAATCACAGTTTTGGTGTTTACTGATAAGTGATATTGGTGGCAACAGAAAACAAGGCAATTGGGAATTAGTCTTGCTATAGGGACCATAAACTTGTAGCAAATATAAATAGTAGGGCTATAGGAGCTAGTTTGCACACATTTTGAATGTTTGCAAAATTTTTCTTCTAAGAAATACATGCTTGTGTTATTAAGCCATTGTCCCTCGTATCAAAACTTGAGCCTGATATCATTTATGGGATTTGCCTAATCGTTTCAATATTAGGAAACACATGCTTGTGCCATTAAGCCACTTTCCCTCCTTTGAAACCTTGAACCTGATATTGTTTACGTGATTTGCCTAATCATTTTAACATTAGTCATCCTCTCAATGAGGAAGACTTGTTATTTATGGAGGAAATTGTAAACCTCTTGGATTGCCTTCTTGCATCTCACAAGGACCTCTATTCAGGTACAACTTTCATCCCATAGGAAAGAGATTGAAACAGTTTTAGGTAAGCCAACTGTTTTCTGCAAATGTTGGATCACAAGGACATGCATAGCATCTGAAATTCTAGGTTTGTTTTATGTTTTCCAACATTTGTTTATATTTTCCCCATGTTGCTGCAACTCTACCTGAAATAGCCTACGTGTCTTTTATCTACAAATGCCGCCGGAAGGCAAGGATATGCATAACACCTCGGTGTCTTTTATGTTTTCCAACTTCTGTATTTATTCCTTAATGTTGCTGCAACTCTTCTTGAAATGCCCTAGGTGTCTTTTATCTACAAATGCATAATGTAGCTAGAATTCATCATGCCACAAAAAATTAGATAGCTTAACCTTAGGAGGACTTCATATATTTAACAGTGGGCAGGTTTGTTTAGAAAACTATAATTACTAATTTAGAAGATGTAAAGCCTATTTGCAATCTTCATTCAAATAAAAGTCCAGCCCGCTATAATGATTATTATTGATAGGCTATTTGACATTAAAAAAGCTACACAAGAAGGGACACTATCTACATGGCCTTCTGCGATCAACCAACCTGGCTTGCTACTAGGAGCTCAATCCTTCAAAAGAAAACTACACATATAAATATCTTCTAGGACTCTTTTAGTGATATCCAACTATGCAAAACAATGAAATGTCTACAGTGCTAGCTAACATACCTCATGCATCATTGGATAATCACTGAAGCAGAAAATTTGCAGGGTACAAGTTTGTAAACCTGAAAGGGAAATATAGAAAAAGTTAAATTAGTATGTAAATAGCTCAGATAAAGTATTATAAAATGTGTAAGCATAAATATTTAAACGTTGAAAAATAAAAAAGAATATGACATGTAATTGTTGAGTAACTAGGGACGGGATACGTTAGAAAGAAAAGGGGGAGCAAGAAAGAGGAGATAATAATTATCAAGATAGATAGCACCACATTTTATTTCCTTAAGCCACTAATCGAATATGAAATGGACAGTTAAAATTTACAATATTTGACTGAATACTACCAATGATGACCAAGAAAGCAGTCATGTAAGTTCTTGATAGCTGATAAATCAATAAAATATAACATAATTGCATATAACTATGCCTGGCAAGGAGGGAACAACAAAGTGATATAATATGAAGACGATATGAAATATCAGGCTTAGATGCGGGAACAGCAGCCACAGGTTAATGCAATTTTTATCACATGTTATAGCTGACACAGCTCAGAAAATTTTATGGTACTACATCCAAAACGACAGAGCAAAATGATATATACGCTTTCAGAAAAGAATGGCGTATGCCCTTTGATCTACTCAAATAAAACCTCTAGCAAAATCATACAATTTTCATGCCAAAGACATGTAAGTTTCAAATCCAGGAAGGGAACTAATCTTACCATAAAAATTAAAAGACAGCCAATTTAAGGTATAGCTTTAGCTTTTTCTACAATTATTAACCATACAAGATGGCAGACACTTTAAACCATTTGCATTTCTTCATGATAAGCCAGCTATATAACACCTAGAGTTCAAGCTGAAAATGCAGCCCCTACTTTCCTACCAGGAATTACTTATACTGCACTTTACTTCTACATGATGCATAACAAGTTACTTCCTTGACTCTTCACCACAAATCCCTCAATCACCCCCTCCTCAAGTGGTCCCTCCAATTATGCTTCCAGCATTCTTTGCTCTGAGACCAAATAGGTGAGTGTCTACTAAAACTTACATACAAGAAGCACAAACCAAGCCTGCTGCGTATTTACATAACAAACTAAATGAACAGAAGCGTCATCCACTCGCTAATAGCTACCGATTCAGAAAACTATTGCAAAGAGGCAATACACAGCATAAGACGTATTCCAAAATAGCTACAATGGAACAAGTAATGAAACCATCACTGCAGCTCACACTGACACATCAAACCTTCTCAATATGAAAGTCAAACATTCAATAATCTAGGAATGTCACAAGGCACTACTCAACCATGGATTGCAGCACCATACAAATTTTACTAATTTGGCAAACTATGTGTCTAAAAGAGCAAAAAGAATGAAAATCTTTGAACAACAACAAAAACAATGGAAAAAAAAAAATGAAAAGAAGGTGATTTTCTCAGAAATTTACATCACTTACTTGACCAGAAAACTCATCCTGCATCATCTTGTTGACCATGTCTTGGCAATGTGTCGCATAACTCATGCAATGAATAAGCTTCTTCCAGCACTTAAGTCACTGTTTTTCCAAATTGAACAAGACATGGATGGAATCCCTTAAAGAAGTGTAAGAGAGTTTATCTTGACGCCACTTTCACACAATAAAGGTATTGAGGTATTTCCAATCCATGACAAACTCCTCTATTCTCTACAATTTGCTCCATCCACTTCAGTTGAGTAATCAGCAGAAATCCATTTCGTTCTAGTAAACTAGTAGTAGTATGAGAGACAGACAGACAGACAGACAGACGGACAGACAGACAGAGAGAGAGAGAGAGAGAGAGAGGAAGTAGACTAGAATTTTACAAGCACACCAAAAGGCAATTTTTCCATGGAGCATAAGATTTGAGTTATAAAACTCAACTAGAGATTGCACGCTTACATAAAACAACTAATAAAATCTTCCAGAGTCCAGTAAGCTCTTAAAACCAAGCAGTAGCGAGCAACTTATCCAAAGACCAGTCAGGGCTGAATTAAAATTCAAATATGACTTCTTGAGAAAGAAACAGCCTATTACTCACTGAAGCAACAAAAGTTAAAGACTAGCCAAGTACTTGTCTTAAATTCATTGCTCTAAGACCCAAAAGGGCAATAAAAAGCATAAAGCAAAAAAGAAATGGGAAGAACACTAACTAGTAAGCAGAAAATTAGCTACTGAGAAAACATTTAATTCACAACTTGGCACTTTGATTTTTCACCCATGGAAATATGAGTACATAAATTATGGAGAAAATGGTAACAATGATATATGATATACATACACAAATATGAGCAATTTGCTTTTAAAGGTGAAGAAGCAGCTGCAATATCAGCAGCAGTACCAATGCTTCCATACAGGCAACCAAGGCTGTTAAATTCAGATGTGATGTGAAATCAAGAGGGAAGCCATTAAGATTATGAACAGATTCAGTTCAAGAAACTTGACATACTATAGGATAGAGAATATAGAATCCACTGCTATATAGATAAGAATATAAAAAGAAATCCTAAAGCACATATTCCTTCAATCATACAATGGCATAGTCTTATCTGAACACTGACATACAGTCTACGGATTTCAAAGTCAGATATTTTACATGGTCATAGTCTGAGCTGAATTACTTCATTACCTGCTTTATTGCCAGATCATTCTTAAATACCGTTACTCAATCCAACAACCATATATGTCCAGTCCTATCCCATGTGACTAAGTTTGAGGCAAGTGGGTTCTTTTGTTAGCCTTGTAAAAAAAGAGTCTAATCTTATGATCTGGATCCTGGTTCCATAGGTAAGATATTAAAAACTAAGGAATAAATTTCAGAAGCAAATTTATACAGAATTTCACAGAGTTGAAATAAGGATTTGTATACTCTGCTGAGTTGTTGCTTTCAACTTCGCAGTTAGGTAAAGATTAGGAAGTAGGGCTAGGATGTTTACGTATTGCCCAGATTAAAATGGAACCAAAATACAAAACTAAGACAAATGTTATTTATTATAACAAAAACATGATATATGTTGTACAATCAGATAGTCAATATAACCAAACTACCAGATGACAAGAAATGCCAGTCTGGTATAATTGGTACAATTACAACAGTGATCCAAGCAATGGAGGCCTGAGGGTAGCCACCATGGTAAAGTATGGTTCTACTATCCTTTCAAAATCTCTGATAAAGGTGGCAATAATCCCCAAAAAAAATGGTCACAAACTGTGATGAAGTGCTCTAGTAACCTAAGTGGCAGACTTCGTAAATAAATACTAAAAGGCAGGCCAGTGGAAACCAGATAAAACTGGTAAGAATTCTACTGCTCTTACATTTATAGGAACTCCAGGTCTCAGCTACTTGATCTCACTTGTATCCTAGAATTTATACCAGCACAAATAATTCTCCCCAGTCAATCTACCAACAAAAAAAAAAGTGTCCAATTAATGCTTTCTATATCACAACCCTCAGTCGTTCCTATAGGTGACATCACCTATAAATCTATGTAAGCTGAGCTTAGGAAAGGCATATGATCAGCGAACAATAAAAGAACATATATGATCTTGACATTGTTTTCTTGACACACCCAATCAATCCCATAAAATTATAGATGAAAATGAATCAAGAATCGTATAATATAAAAGTACAATTTTGCCAAAGCAAGTGAAAATTATGAATTGGAGCAACAATGTGCTCCTACTTGGTGCAAATCATAAAGTTTTGCACCATTCTTACATATAACTGGGAATCTAGAGTTTAGTATATAGATCAAATGGCACAATCAAGAAAAAGGTCTTAAGGCTAATTTCTGGTATAAATAAACAAGATGCAACAAACCTAGCAATCACTTCTTAATTGCAGGAAAAAGTTGCCAGAACATACTTCTATTATCTTATTCTCAGTTAAACAGAAAGACTATACAAAACTAAGCTCCAAATTAGAGAACAAATTTAAGTACTTCTACCTAATATACAAAAAACTAAATAGAAACAATTTGGGAATACCCAGAAATATAATCCTACTCAAACTGGAATTTTTAGAGCAACACCAGAGGCATGTCTAGCATACAAAGGATTTATTAAACTGCCCACAACTTAGAAAAACTTTAGAGAACCTAAATTAACTGAATCAATGGCGCAAAAACCAAGGAAAACATCAAAACAGACTCAATATTATCCAGAAATAGAATGGAAAAGGTCATTGAAAAAGCTCCAAATCTGTTGGTCATTTGTTTTCCTCAATCCTTTTTTTCTGCATTATATGCATTATGGTAAAATAGGCTAAGGACCTAACAGTAAAAAGCAATGATATGCAGTCAGATGGAAACTAAAACCCCTTGCCTATTTACACAATCCATTATGCAACCTTTTAAGGAACTATATGAAAAATAATGGAGCAAAAGTGTGTGAGCATAGCAAGGCTGTCAAACTAAGGTGGAAAACCAATGGAAAGACAACTACCAAATGAAACAGAACTAAGGTCATCATAGAGGTAATAGTGATCTTAAATGGAAGAAACCCATGAGAAAACACAATAAAGGAAAGCTTGAAGGCTGACTAAATTTTATCAATATGTTGCTAAATTGTGTTAGAGACAGGACAGCTAATGGCTTTTCTACAAATAAACAGCAGAAGTACAATCGAACAACCCCATATTCCATAAGATATGGAAGAGGAAGAAGCAACAGCAGCAATATATGTATGGGTCACAGGAATTCAATGATTCCTATTTTTCAAAACCAAACATCTAGCCTCAAAAGGGCATCTCAAGGTCTAATCTTTCTCCACATAACAAATGGTGAAATTCAAAATTCATAAGAATATCTACCAAAAACAAAGTATCAAATTCAAATACTTTATCATAAATGAAATGAGAAAATATTTGCACCAGATAATTATCAAGCAGACAACAGCATACTGCAATTTCAAGATAATATAAACTGTCAATTTTTTTGGGTACAATTCCAGAGCGCCTATCATAATATATTAGTTCAAATCCAAGCCTAGAGAACTAATAAGTTGCCCAGAAGTACCATATGAATCATCTTAGCATGATTTGAAAAATCACATTAGCGATGTCCTTGAGCTCTCTTCATGTCATATGCAACCCAGGAACCAGCAGCAGGTCCATACTGAGGATAACCATCCATACCACCCTGAACCAGAAATACAAGGAGAAAAACTTAATACCCAATCACTCTTTTAAGAAAATAATCCATATACATCTCATCAATGCAGCTCACATGCAAGTCCATATAAATTTAAGCCCACATACACCAAACACTGTTGAGCACCTACATAAAACAGCATAACTTACAGGATTCAGGCCATAGTTGACAGGATAAGTGTTTCCAGTATATCCAGCTTCAGGGTTTCCATAATTTGCATTATAACCAGCTACTACTGGAAATTTTGGAAAAAAAAAATTATTCATAAACAGAGGAAAAACACTATCAGTCTGTTACATAAACAGAAAAAGAAGATCCATAACAGTACATAAAGCTTCACAAGCTTAAAGGATCATCACTAAAATAATAACTCACTGGGTGAACTAATCAAACAACTAACTAGACCATATGTTAAATAAGATGTCGTAGGCCTTCTACCAATAACAATAAGTATTAAAAACACTAAAAGAAAAAGCAGATTCAGTGATTAAATTAGCTCAACTACTGAAAACTGATTTATGTATTTTCTATGCTCTTAGCATTGACAGCACATACAGCCTCAAGACAGATTGAAAACCAACCCAACCTCTACATTAAAACTTAACTTGCAAGCAAAGATTATATCATAAAAATAGAAAACTGGAAAGACCAGTACATGAAACTCAAACAGCAACGTGAAGCAAAAGCCATAGAAACGAAGTCCTTTATGCTGGAAAAAGAGAACTGAAATAAATCTCTCAATGAAAAGTCTACATACCAGGATTACCACCAGTACTACCAGCGGAACGAGTTCTCTTATCTGCATTAGCAATCTCTGCACGAAGTTTTTCCAACTCCCGAGCCATTGAGATCAATTTTTTCTCCATCACCTGACCATGTTCATAATTCTCAGCATATCCTTTCTTCTCATACTCAATGGCAGCTCTAAAGGTCAAGGAAGACATAAAAAAATCAGAAAACCAAACTCCATACAACAAATTAACAAAGGCACATAAATGATCCAAACATAAACTCCTACTTCATTCCTACAAGTATTGTTTATTCTCACAAGAACTATCCCATAAAAGAATTTCAAAAAAAGGCAAATTTTCACCTTGCACGTTGCAGTTCCTGCTTTACATTTTCAATCTCTGCCTTCAATGCAGGAGCCTGTTGCAATTCACCAGTAAATCTAGCCAAATCTTGACTCATAACCTGAACCTGACCAGTAAGATCCTGCCTCACAGCATTAAGCTGCTTGATATCAGCATTAACCTTAACAAGCTCAGCTCGCATAGCCTCCACTCCACGAAGATCAGCCTCCAATCGAACCGACTTCTCATACATCTCCCTCATCTGAACATCCTTCTCCATCCCCAACGAATCTGCATAATGAGCCATACGCTGTAACTCATGCTGAGCAGCCTCCAATTCCTGCTTTAACGCAACATGAGTTGCTGCCAGCCTCTGATTATCAGCCAGGAGGCCTTGAATTTCTTGCAGTTGAGCTGCAAGACGCTCCTCAATGATTGCTGGGTGGGGAGGCAGGCCTCTAGGACCCAAGCCAAATTGGGATTCTCTAAATTCATCAAGTAAAGCCGGGTGTGGTGGCATTGGACCTAGGCCTCTAGCATATGGGGGTTCATGAATCGGAGGCAGTAGTCCAGCATGAGGAGGCCCTTTCATTGGAAGAGGCGGTGGCCCACGATTTCTTGCAGACATAACTATTTATCCTTTAAAATCAATGCGAAATCGATAAACCTAATGAAATAATGAATAAATTTTGGAACTTAATAAGCAAATTAATGAAACTTATAAGCAGGCAAATTTCACAATGTTACAGTAAATTGCAATTCTAAATCCTGAACCTAACAGGCTGTTTCCTTACCTGGAAACCTAAAGACAAAAAAAATTATATATAAGAATTATAACTAAAATTTTCAATATGAACCCTAAAGGCTCAAGTTGACTATTTGTTGAAGAAGAGAATTTTAGCGAAAAGCGAGAGAATCGCTTTCTGAGGAACCAAACAGTGGGCATTTTCATGTCCAGGAAAATTAATTTATCAACTAGATAACTAAAAAAAATCCAACAAAATCATGAAAATACAAATTACTTACCTTTGAAATTTTACCAATTCTCAAGGAATTGATCTGAGAGAGGGAGAGAGAGAGGGGAGGGGTAAAGCCGATAGAGAATATTTTAGATTTTTTCTTTTCTTGTTTCCATGAAAACCCCTAAGACTTGGGATTTAATAAAATAAAATTGATTAATTGTGATTCTTAAAGTTGTACTTCATTAGTATTACTTTAGATAGTAAAAAGGACGTTTTGGATAAATAACGTAGAGGCACCTATAATTTTAACATATTTCGATAATGACCCATAAAAGTATTCAAAACATACAATGTACCCCCCAATATATTTTCAACTATAGAATCCTTTTGTTAGGGTGGCATTCTTAATTTGATCTCTAATTTAGGAAATTATTTTATTTAATTTTTATATAGCCCTTTTTCTTTGTTAATGGAAGTTAATAATAATGAATTGATTTAGGAAATCCATAAAATCTCAAAAAAAAAAAAAAGAAAATTTAAATATATGTCTATATAAATGGTGATCCCATGAACCTGGTTCCGTAAAATTTATTGTAAAATTTTAACTTGGTTTAAGCACAACAAAAACTCCTAAATCATAACAAATAAATCTGCAAATAGATTTTATTTTAAATATTTCAACTACATAACTTAGATTAATAAATCTAATTTCAATTAGAACTTTATAATTGTGATTAAACTACGACCAAAATTTCATGATAACTCTCATGCAATCGAGTCTGTAAAATTAAAATTCATCCAAAAAAAAAAAAAAATAGAGTTCTTCAATTATAATTTTTACCATTATTATTGAGTTATTGTTACAAACTTACAATGTAAGATAAGCCTGTCTTAACAATACAATTATTATTATTATATCTTAACTTGAAGGGGATTCGAACTTTATTCTTTGCACAAGAAATCATATGTAATATTATTTCTTCTTTAAATAACAGTGTTATTTTTTTTTTACTAAAAAAAAGGAAAATAAAAAGAGAAAAAGGAACAAAAGAAATAAAGAAAATCATCATTCCAACCTTGCATGTCTCGTGAATAGCCTTTATTGCTTTGAACGGTGGGATATGTTTCCAACGGCTAAACTCAAGTTAATTAGCAGGCCGTTGCTTAGAGGCCCCGACCAGCGGTGGTTCTCGTGTGAAACTCACCCCAAGTAGTTGATATATCATCCCCTAAATGGATTTCTTTGATCATATATGCGATTATGTTTCAGCTCACTTGATCTTTTTGTTCTCATTCTACACCAAGAATCCATGGAAGCATTGTGGAGTTTAGAGGAGAAACTGAAGCTAACAACTCAAGAAGCAGTCGTCCTCCTTGTTTGTGCTGCCTCGGCCGTCATCGGGCTTTGTGCTGCCACGGTTCTTAAAAAGAAGGCTCAAAAGAAGCGAACGGTTGATCGTGACCTGGTCGCTGATGGTCGGGTCCATGCAAAATGGTGTGAGCCTAGTTGCAATTGCGTTTCGGCTAAGAGGGTGTTGATGGGCTCAGTGATGTGGAGTGGACCTTACAGGTGGGGGAAGAGAAGCTTTGGTTGGGAGGAGAGGCCAGCAACATTGCTTGGATTGGAAGGGTATAACTCTAGTGTAGGGTGGCGAAGTCATAGCTCAGACTCACCGGTATGGCAGCGACCGATACTTATGGGGGAGAAATGTGAGCTCCCACGGTTTAGTGGACTCATTTTGTATGATGAAAGAGGCCAGTTGCTTGATCATTCTATTAATGGAAGTTCTGACCAGCAAAACATTCCCCAGGTGATCAGCTCTGCTATATCTAAAACAAAATTTTTACTGCAATTTTTCAAAAGAAAGTTCAAGCACCTTCCCAGCTAACATAGCATTGGTTATCTTTTGCAGGAGAAACCCACTGCAGTTGTGAGAACAACATTAAAGGACCTGCTCTAATTTTCTTTTGTTAACTAGTTGTAACAAGAACAGGTTTTCAGGAATGATTGAGCTTTTCTCTAGTCAAGTACAAATTATTCCATTAGGCGTTGCATTTCACGTATAATTATTTTAAGAGCTATTTCATCTTTAAGTAGTCAATTCAACCATAGCTGCTCATTTTAAAAGAAAATTTTTCATATGATTTAGCCAATAGATGTGACAACTGATCGGCTCAGGTTATTTCAAGTAAAGAAAAATTTGAATCATTTTAAGTTCGGATCATCTTGGATTCTTCGAGTTATTTAAGTTTGACACTTATGTTAAAAGTCATTTTGAGTTCAAATTTATAACTTCTTAAGTCAAATCTCTAGTCCAGTCAATCTTAAACTGAAATCACCTTTTTACTTCACTCATATAGTCATGCATGCAGACAAGCATAGATATTGTCTGTTACAGATGAAAGTAATACACAAGAATTGGAACATTTTTGGAATGACACACCAAATGAAATAATACATCAAGATTCCCATCACTATACGCTTCAAAATCAAAACTGCACATCTTTGAAAAACCCTTGGCATAGAAACAAAACGCATAAGCAGTTACCTTTCCCAGAGAAAGCATTTGTTACACATGTGACACCATGAGTGGTTCCTCAGAGTCTTCAATGGATATCCTTTTGTAGTAGAAGTACAACAACAGTTGTACAATCCCCAAAATAGTTCCTATTCCATTTGGAACCTGAAAATAAATAGGCAATAATTAACACAGAAATAGGTAACTTCTATATAGAAACAACAAATTGTCATCAATGTTGGATGAAGCTTACATAAATAAAGCCATCCAAGTTGAAGATGCCATATATGAAGAAGGAGGTGCTCATCAAGAAAGTAGATAGGGAGAGAAAGAATGGCATGAATTCAACACTCTTTGTTCGAATTACTAAATTCTGGGAACAAAGATCAAGTTAGACAACATGTTATTAAAGATTTAAGCAATTTTAGAAAACAATCTAATGCAGAGAAAGAAAATGTATTAGTGCATTTGGATCAACTCACAATTATAAACAATGGCGAAGCAAACATTGATATGAGAGAAGCACAACTTAGTAATCCTATGAAGATCCACCGTACTTTTCTGTCAACTATCTGCAAGCTCCCACCAATAATGATTGCAAGAAGGCCAATAACAGCCAGTAGAAGTCCAAGCATCCTTATCTGCCATTGACACAATGCATATGAATGACAGTGCAGAACAACACAGAGAATGCTCTCATGAAAGAAATTAAACCACAACAACAAATGCACATAAGTTTGAAAGAATAAGTAACCTTTATTTCTTTATCAGCATAGATGATGAAGAGGATAATGTAAGTTATCTGGAAAACTGCACCAATTGAATTGACTGTCATAACCAGTACATTATCATAAGATATTAAGGGCGTGCCATACCACGTGCAAATCAAGCAGTTCAAGAGGGCATATATGTAAGGCAATCCTGAAAATTGCTCCGTTGATTGATTTCTGATAATTCTCCTAAAGGTGGGTCTGAAAAGTTAAAGGAAAATCCATAACAAAACTAAACAGAGGATAAGATATAACAATCTACTCATTTTGCTAACAAAATTCTTACAACCAGGAATAAAAATAATTAGAAGTAGAACATACATGGGTGATACAAACAGCCCAAAAGCAAAGATGTTCCCTGCAATAAACAAGGATCAAGATCAGATTGAAGTTCTTTTATGTGATTTTTCAATCAGAACTTGTGCATAAAGCAAACAGCTCCCAATTTATAGTATGTAATTATACTATATTTCCTCAACAAACTGAATACAAAGAATTACCAAGTGGCATTTACAATTATAAATGGCTAAGAAAGCTTAGGTTTATCATCAAGTACCAAAAGGCATATTTTCTCTATAACTATCATTGGTGCATGTAAAGCATCCTTAACAGAGGTGGCGATACCATTCAGAACCAAGAGACTTATGGTGGAACAACAACAAACTTTCACAGGTGCAAGCAATATTTTGCGCTGGCACCTCTAAAAGTTCTTCATAGCAGATATAGCTCAAGATTTAACTCAATATTATGCTACAAAGAATTTCGAACAAAAGAAAAAGGTACAAACAATAAAGATCAATCTTTGAAGTGCTTCCATTTCCATTTAAATTTAGACATAGACATTAAATAGTAAGATTGTAATACTTTCCCTAACAAAATGAAAAATACTTTCAGATGCTAATGAAGATTATATCAAACCGAATACAAATTTCATGCTTTCCAACCCACAAAGTTCGTTTTAAGCATCATAACGCTTTCGATTTGCCAATAGGGGTGCTCACATAGAAATGATAAAAAGCATGAAGGGAAAGCCAGAATGTTCTAAACAGTGAACAAGCAACAATTGCTCTCTTATTCTTTAATTAGAAAATACTGTTTTCCAAATTTTAGCTGAGAGGTTCATACTTCATATTATAGTAAACTAAGCTGGAATCTAATGAATTCCTGCTATAAATGAAAAAAAAAATGTATACTTTCAAATGAAAACAGGATTCTTTGATGGAAAGCCAATGCAAATTAATTAAAACTTTGAAAGTTGTAACAAATTGAAAATGACAACCAAGAAATATTTGTTCTCAACTCCCTATTACTCGCTGATTTCCAGAAATCAAGTACAAGTTTCTCAAAATGAACTTATACCCAACAATGAAGCAACATTTTTTGACCCAAAAAGAAACAGTAACCCTTTGAAGACAAATTCTGCGTCTTTAAAAATTAAATGAGAGATATTTTAGCATTTCCAACAACAATATCAAGCTTTTCTTCAACTTTTAACAAAACCCAATTAACAGTATGACTCTTATAACAAAAAATATGAGTCATGATCAACCCTTAACCTTAAAAATCTTCAAGAATGGTGTAACGGGTCTTTTGCAATTCAACAAAAAAAATGAAAAAAAATTAACAGAACTTTTAATCAAATCAGTTTATAACAAAAAAAAATGTACATGAAATTCAATTTACAAGAAATAACAAAGAATCAGATTAAGGAAGAAGATGAAGAAGAGAAGATTAGATTACCGGCGACGCCAGCTGCATCTCTGCAAACAGTGAAGGTATCCGTTGGAATAGAAAAAAACATCAAAAAAGGAATTTTCTTACAGACAAAAAGTTTAAAAAAAAAGTAACAGAAAAACTGACCAAAACAGAAGCAAAAGTGAATGTTTTATCCCAGAAAAAAGGCACCCTCTCCACCCACTTTTTCAGACAATTTTCTTTCTCTCTCTAATCAAACGCTCCATTTCTCTCTCTCTAGATTCTTGTCTTTTACCTCGTTGGATTTTCCTTGTGTCAACATTGTCCATGTTTTGGCAAAAACATGTGAAAAATACAGTCCCCAGATATTTGAATTTTCATGTCAGTTGTCACTGTCAACAAATTGTTAATAAAAGATTATTAGTATCAGTCTCCATTACGTGCATACAAACAAAGAAAAGTAAAATAATAGTATCCGTCTCAATTTCGTTATTTTTGCATATATTTGATTTAGCATCCAATTGTTTTTTCTTAATTGAGTAATATGTTTAAATACCAAACTTAGACAAATTTTTTAAGTAATATATTCAATATCAAATATAAAAAAAAATTTCTTACCCAAAATGATTATTTCAACCAAATAAAGAGTTGGTTAAATATAAAAATAATATTTATATTTTATTTTTTTATCAATTTGATTATTAAAAAATAAATTTTTAATTTGATATTTAATTTTTTATTGCATAATCCACTTTGACATTTAAGATTACATCGTCAATTAATTTATTGATATTATATAAATATTTCAATAAGATATTGACACTTATCAAAAATTTAATCAAAATATAACATTAATTGTCACATAATCATTAAAAAAATTTTAAAAATTCACAAAAATATAACATATATAAAATATTTTTAAAATATTTTAAAAAAATTAAAAACTGTAATATTTAAAAATTGTAAAAAATATATGAAAACATAAAAATTTAAAAACTTTCAAAATTTTAATAAAAAATTCAATAAATTAAAATTTTTTAATAAAATAAATTTTCTTAAAATTAAAAAAATTCACAAAAACTTAAAAAAAGTTGAAAATAATAAAAATCTAAAATTTTTTGAACAAACCTAAATTTAAAACAAAATTGTAAATTTTTTTTTGAAAATTATGAAATTTTTTTAATGTTACATTTTAATTTTTTATATATTTTATGAAATTATAAGATTTTTTATTTTTATTAAAATTTTAATTTTTTTCAATTTTTTTATTTTTCAAAATTTTTTAATTTCTTATAAATTTTAAGTATATTTCATATTTTTGAAAATTTTTAATTTTTAAAAAGTTTTTAAAATTTTTAAGAATTTTTTTATAAAATTCTATATTTTTTTAAAAAGTTTTAGAATTTTATTATTTTCAAAATTTTCAAAACAATTTAGATTTTTTTTAATTTCAAAATTTTATGTTTTTTAACTTTAAGAAAAAAAATTTTATTAAGATTTTTTAATTTTTCATAATTTTTTAGATTTTTATTAAATTTTAAAGATTTTTTTTATTTTTAAAGTTTTAATAAATTTTTAATTTTTACAATTTTATAAAGATTTCATATTTTTTTAATTTTGTATAATTTTTAAAATATTTTAGATTTTTTAAAAAATTTTAACATTTTTTAAAATTTTTAGAAAAATTTTTCTATTAATGTTGACATGGCAATTTATGATGTGGTATTAACTGAACTTTTGGAAACATGTCAATATTTTATTGGTTGTTCATGTCATATCAACAAATTAATTAATGACGTTAGTTTGAAATATTGACATGAATGACCAAATGAAAATTGAAATATCAAATTGATAAAAAAATATAATACATGGACTATTTTTTATTTAACCCTAAAATGGTATATGGTTCACGGAATCTTGAATTCCAGGGAAAGTGTGACATTCAGGAAAGTGTGATCCTCGATGAAAAGTTTGATTTTTAAGGTATCTCATTTTTAGATTCTTGTATTTAGTTGAAGGGAATTTGCATTTATAAAATCATGTATTTTTATCATAATATCTTTGACAACATAACAAACCTTTCGTTTTGTTTAAAAAAAATAAACATGACAAATGATACATTTATCATCAAATAAATGAAAGATTTTATAATTTTTTATAAATTTTAAAATGTACCAATTACTGCATTTATATAAAAAAATATGTAGTAATTGGTACAATTTAAATTAATAACAATGAACAATTATTGTGTTGTTATTAAATAAATGCAGCAATTGATAATGTTATAAAAATATTACAATGATTAAATACTGCGTAATGAATAAATAAACACTGTAATTGATATTTAAGGAAAAAAAAAACTGGACACAATTACTGTGTTTTTAATAAAAAATGTAGTAATTGGTCATTTAATAATATTTTAATAATTTTATGAGGACCTATTATTGCGTCTATTTAAAAAAATGCAGTAAAATTACTTATCTCAATTATTGCATTTATTTAAAAAAACATGGTAATTGATCTTTTTTAAAAAAATTAATATATTCAATTACTGCGTATATTTAAAAGAAAGCAATAATCGATATATTTTAAACTATAAATCCTTTTCGATTTTAGCCATTCTGTTTTATAATACCTAAACCCTCAACCAGCAAATGAAGCATCTGAAACAAAAAACCCTTATTCCATCATCTGATTGCTTTCATAGCTGGGTCTCCATCGTCGTCGCTAAGTCTAAACCGTCACCATTGTCGCTAACGCTAATTTAAATGCCTTACTTTTTCCTGTTTTTTTAGAAAATGAAGACTTCATCATTGTCTAATAGATGTAGACTAATAGATTGCAAAAACAAATAAAAATAGTAAATATTTATGAATAAAAAAAGATTAATTCTGGATTAATAATATGGATCAATAACTTGAATGGTCATGGTAGTAGTTTTGTTGAATCACAATTTGCCTAGTGACTAAGTTGAATTAGAGTAAAGACATGGGATTCTCTTTGATTTTGAAATTTTTTTCCTTCTTTTGTCATGCTTCTTCTCTACTAGAATTTGTTTCTAGCTCAACCAATCCAATTTGAAATAAGGATAGTTTAGTACTAGGTCTTCTTTTTTCTTGCATTGTAATCTTCTAGTTGTTTTTCTTTTTCTAATTTGAAGATGTCGATTTAAATACATTGTCTGATGACATATTTAGCATAGAAATGTATTAATTATGGTAATGTACAACTTGTAACTTGCAAATTGGATCAATCTACAGTGGTCTATTGGGTGGCTAACTAGGTTGAGTATTATATGGCATGGATAAAAATTTAAACCGTCACTTATATCTAGTGATAAGATTAAACATCAAATAAATACTATACATGATACAAATTGTTGACACAGAATGAATATGCAAAACAAACTGTTTGTTGTGTTTTCTTTGTGTTATGCCAAAATATCAAAATGCAAAACCATCGTTCATATTATCATGCATCAATATACAAAAGATTTAGCTATTATTTTGTATTTATATATTTTGGCATTGGTGGTATTTTAGGCTAATATCATTTCATTAATAAATTCATACAGATTTGTTTATATTATGGCTTTAGAATAACATATGTTTTCCTCTACCGAACATGAAGAAAAACTCTCAATTGACATATCCTCTTTGAAAAAGAGAAAATCTAGGGGACATGGTAAAACACTTGAAGTAAGTGAAAAAAAAAATTATGTTGAGTTCAATCAAGATGAGCAACTTGTGTTAAGTAGAGGGGCAAAGATGGCTAGCTACATTGGATATGTTGTCCATCAGACTATATCCATTAACTATTGTAGTTGGAGAAATGTTTTAGATGATAAGAAGGACAGAATATGGGATTCGGTTGTGATAAATTTTTTAATGAAATCCAAACTAATTCATCCTTATTGTTCATTGTTTATAGAATGCAATTACATTGTTGAGATATTTTAATTTAATCTTTTTATATGAACTATTTGACGTCTTATGTAAGTATAAAAAGCTTGTGCTATAATTTGCTAGATTAAAATTCAGAGGCTTTAAAAGTAGATTGACAACCAAATATATTTTACCATTCGCTGACAATGTTTAACAATTGGCTCATTTTCCAAAGACATATTCAAATGTTATTAGTGAAGTAAAGTAGTTGTAGCTTATTAGAAATCATTTATCAACTAAATTCGACATATGCATACCAATTTTCTTTTGTTTTTATTATATATTGTTCAAACTATATGTATGTTAATATGTGATTGATTTTTATTTTTGTAGAAAATCAAAGAACAATAAAAAAAAATACGAGCTCAACAAATGTATTATCATCAAACATTGAAAAAAGGTTTTGCAAATGTGAAGCATGATCTTGTAGGTATTTAAACGCTTTTATTATACTCATGGTTTAAGATTATGAACTTCATTTGATAAAAATTAGAAACTTATATTTTCATATGATTTCAAGAAACATCTAGCTCAGACACCGAAATATCAAGATGGGATGTTTGGAAAATATGGCATATGCTAAAGATGGAATGCATGAGAATAATGCAATTGAACAAAAAGATTGTAAGTTTATTTTATTTTTATATCACGTATGCTGAATGAGCTTTTATGCATGAATAAATATTGTATTTAATTACTCACTAGCATGTTGTATTTCAGGAGGATTTTGCTACAGGATATGAATTTGGTAAGTTACGAACCGATTATGACGAAGATTCTTTGTCCTTAGCTTTAGTATCAAAAAATAGACCTATTCGTATTTGAGGGGTTGAGAGTTTTGTCTCTTTAACATAATACTTCAAAAATTAACTTAAAACCCATGTAACAAAGAATGCTAAATATAAAGCTATAATAGAGCAGCAACAGCAATGACTTGATGAGTAAAAGCAATGGCTTAATAAGTAACAGTAACGATTTGCTACATTGGAGGCAATGTTGGCAGTAATGCAACCTAACACGGCTTAGGGTCAGTTGTTATCGGTATTTTCAAAAATGAATTTGTGGATCAAGTCTTACAGCAAACATCTTTTTCGGTAAACATCATTCTAGTTATATTTGTAAATTGAGTTATTTTTTAATTTGATTTTGTAACAATAATATTCGATATTTGTTCGTAATATGATGTTCAACCTCAGATCATCACAGTTGCACAATTTGCCATGATTGCACTATCTATTTATGCTTGTGAACGTTTATTAAAAAGAGCATGCATTACTATAGAGGTCAAGCATGGATTATTTGATTATCTTTTGACTACATTCATACGGCAACTATAGATTGACACATTTTGTGAGATGAAAGAGATATCAACTACTAAAATTATTGTGTATATGAAGTTAGCTTATGTATTGATTTAAATATATTCTATGAAA